GGTGGCTGGGCGCATCACGTTCGGGGACGGAGAGGCCCTGTATGCGGAAGGGGAAGGGACCGTGGAGCTGCTGTGCAAGGTGCCGGGGGGTGAGCAGCTCGTGACCCTCACCGACGTGAAGTACGTGCCAGGGGTGCCGGTGAACCTGTTCTCGGTGAGTCGGGCCCAAGTCTCAGGGGCTGAGGTGGTGTTCAGGCAGGGAAGGAGCCAGGTCCTACTTGACGGTGATGTGATGATGGAGGCTAGACTGTCTGAGGGGGTCTATGTCGTCGAGTTGGCCGGGGCTGTGTGCAACGTGGTCAAGAGCGAGTCGGCAACGTTGTGGCACAGAAGGCTGGGGCATGCAGGGTTCGAAACCCTGGCAAAGATGGCTGAGAACGGCTGTGTGAAGGGGGTCGGGGTTAGCGCGGACGAGTTTCGAGGGGAGCTAACCCGGGTCTGTGAGCCGTGCGTGATGGGGAAGCAAACGCGAACGCCTTTTCCGGCAAAGAGGGAGAGCGCAACGGTGGTAGAGAAGCCCCTGGATCTGGTGCACACAGACGTGTGTGGCCCGATGCCAGAAGAGTCAAAGGGGGGCAGCCGGTTCTTCGTGACGGTGCTGGACGACTACAGCAAGCTGTCGGTGGTGACGCCGATCCGGAAGGAGAGCGAGGTGAAGGACGTGTTAGAGGGGGTGTTCAACCGGTTAGAGACGGAGACCGGTAACCGGGTGAAGTCGGTTCAAAGTGACCGGGGGAGTGAGTATCTGAACAAGGAAATCAAGCAGATGTACCGGAGCCGTGGGATCATCCAGCGGACGACGGCTCGGTACAGTCCGGAGGAGAACGGAGCGGCAGAGGCGCTTAACCGTCGGTTGGAGGAGAGAACGCGAGCGATGCTGGAAGATTCGGGGTTGCCCGAGCGGATGTGGGCAGAGGCGGTGGTTAGTGCAAACTACACCCGAAACCGGACGCTGGTCAAGGAGCACGGGAAGACTCCGTTCGAGATGCTGACGGGTAGGAAGCCGGACCTGAGCAGGATGCGGGTGTGGGGAGCGCCTGCCTACATGCACGTGCCAAAGGGGCTGCGCACGAAGCTGAAACCAGTGAGCGAGAAGGGGTGGTTCGTGGGGTACGAGCCAGATTCGACGGGTTATCGGTTCCTGCGGAAGAAAGACGGGGCGATCCTGGTGACGCGGGACCTGATCGTCGACGAGGGTGTTGCAGCGGGAAGCGTGGTGGAAGACGAGGTGGCAGAGCCCAAGTCGGAGAAACCAACCGGGGGAACGGAACCGGGGGAGTCTGCGCCTCAGGCAGAAAAGCTGGAAGTGGTCGAGGAGATCGACCTGCGGAGCGACGATGAGGGGGAAGACGGGAAGCGCTATCCGACGCGGGTACGCGTCGCTCCTATGCGGTATGCCAACGTGGCGCGGGCACGTGGCGGTGACACGTGGCAGACGGAGGATACCTCTGTCGTCGTCGAGCCGAGCTCCGACGCAGGGAAGGAGCAGGGGGGTGCTCGCGGCCTTAGCCGTGTGAGCCCCCCTGTCTCAGCTGGTGCGGGGGCTACTCCCAAGGGAGAGGCCAGTGCCGGCACGCTGGGTGAGGGCCATAGCGCGCAAAATACGTCGGAGGGCCGAAATGGGGCCAAAACGTATATTCCGCCCCTAGAGACACCCAGCGAGGGTTTGGGGTTGAAAGAACCTCAGTCGTACCAGGAAGCCGTAGGGGGAGAGCAGAGTGAGATCTGGCGGCAGTCCATGGACGACGAGATGCGGAGTCTGCTGGAGAACGGGACGTGGGAGTTGGTCCCGAAACCTGAGGGGGTGAAGCCGGTCCCGATGAAGTGGGTTTACAAAATCAAACGGGACGCAGCCGGGAACATCGAGCGGTTCAAATCGCGGCTGGTGGCGAAGGGGTTTCTCCAGCGGCAGGGGGTGGATTTCGAGGAGGTGTACGCGCCGGTGTCGAAGCACACGACGCTGAGGGCGCTGTTGGGAGTCGTTGCGGCAAGGGACTTGGAGCTGCACCAGCTGGACGTCAAGACGGCGTTTCTGAACGGTGAGCTGGAGGAGGAGATTTACATGCAGCAGCCGCAGGGGTACGAGCAGGGCGGACCGGAGACGGTGTGTCGTCTGAAAAAGACGATCTACGGGTTGCGCCAGGCGCCAAGGGCGTGGCACCAGAAGCTCAAGACGGAGTTGGGGGAGATCGAGTTTCGGGCCTCGGAGAGCGACGCGGCGCTGTTTACGGGAGTGATAGACGGGGAGCGGGTGTGGGTGGTCGTCTGGGTGGACGACATCCTGATTGCTGCAAAGGGGGAGCAGCGGTTGGCCAAGGTGAAGGCGCACCTGTCGGAGAAGTTTGACGTGCGAGACCTGGGACCGGCGGAGTACTTCCTGGGAATGGAGCTGACGCGCGACAGGCGCGCGCGCACGATCAAGCTGACGCAGAAGAAGCTGACGAAGGAGCTGCTGGGGCGGTACGGGCTGGAGGCAGCAAAGGCGCGGAGCACGCCGCTGTCGTCGGGGGAGAAGCTGCAGAGAGAGGGGGATCCCCTTGACACCGGCAAGTACCCCTACAGTGAGCTGGTCGGGAGCCTGCTGTACCTGAGTGTGTGCACGCGGCCGGACATCGCGCAGGCGGTCGGGGCGCTGGCGCGCTACATGGCGGGGCCGACGGAGGAGCACTGGCGGGCGGCGCTCGGGGTGGCGCGCTACTTGTCCGGGACGGCAGAGCTGGGAGTGACGTTCGGGGGGAGCGCAGAGCCGCTGGTGGGCTACGCAGACGCGGACTACGCGGGAGACGTGGACAGCCGCAGATCCACGACCGGGTACGTCTTCCTGGTGTACGGGGGAGCCGCAAGCTGGTCGAGCAGGCTGCAGCCCACGGTGGCAGCCTCGACGGTTGAGGCGGAGTACATGAGCGCGGCGAGTGCCGCGAAGGAGGCGCTGTGGCTGAAGAAGCTGTGCGGAGATCTGGAGCTGCCCGGGGGAGTTGTCCAGATCTACGGGGATAATCAGGGGGCGCTGCAGTTGCTGAAGCACCCAATTGCTTCGCAGCGCACCAAGCACATCGACGTGCTGCATCACTTCGTGCGAGAGAGAGTCGCTCGGGGGGAGCTGCGGTACGAGTACATTCCGACGAAGCAGATGGTGGCGGACGTCTTCACTAAGCCGTTGGACCCGGGCCAATTCAGAGCGTGCAGGG